CCCCCTCTTTTCCGCCCCCGACCTGGGGCGGGCTTCTCACTCATGTTCGCAACTGCCGGGGCTATGGCCAGTGCTGGAAAAAAGTACGGAAAGGATGTGTGAAGTAATACATTGGACTCGATCTTTGGTGACGCTGTCCTTTCCTCGCAAACGCGCCCTCGTCCTCGTAGGATTTCCTCTTTGCCCTCACCCCTTCCCACCAAACTGCCTATCCCGACCTCGTCTGCGCCTTGATGCCGTGTTTGAAATAACTTCTGCTCCGTCTGGTCATCGCCCTTCCTTACTTTCCAACCTCATGCGCCTGCCCATTCACGCTTTCACCCTCTCATTCCTTCCTCTTCCTGCTCCAGCTTCACCTTACAATTGCAGCCCCCATGTTCCTCCGCTGCTTACTGCTATAGCCGACGCTACGTCTACGATTACAGCTACAACAACTTATGCTACCACACCAGCGCTTACACTGCCACTAGTGTTGATACGAATACTGTCACGACGAGTACCTTCGGCTACTACAACTGCTACTGGTACTGCTGCGACTGCGACCGCCATGCTTACACTTGATACTAATAGTGGTACTGCTACTGGTAACGCAATAATGCCCACTATGGCCACTGCTGCTACGGAGGCTATACATGCAAGCATCCTGGTGCGACAACGTCTACTGAACGCAAGGTGCGCAAAGAAAAGGACTGCAGCCGATAGACATGGCCGCCGAGAGCCGCGCGACACGCCTCACACGCACGGGAAGAAGGGTCCGCCCTCGGAGGGCAAAGAAGAAGGACCTGTGAGGCCCAGCTGCCACGGGGCCCCAGCGGGTTCTCGGCGCGCGTCAGCGCGTCGCTGCAATGAAGAAAGCGCCGCGAAGCCGAAGACGACTGCCGGGGGTACGCAGGACAAAATGAGCCCACGTCTGGGTGGCCCCGCTGCGACACTTGGGAAAGGGCGCGCGCCACGGTTTTGGGCATCGGCCACTACCACGACAACTGTGACTACTACAACAAATACAACTACCACGACTACCACGACTCAAACTACTACTACTACTACTATTACTACTACTACTACTACTACTACTACTACTACTACTACTACTACTACTACTCCTGCTACTACTACTACTACTACTACTACTACTACTACTACTACGACTACCACTGCTATTACTACTACTACTACTACTACTACTGCTACTACAACTACTACTGCTACTACCACTACTACTACTACTACTACTACTACTACTACTACTACTACTGCGACTGTTACTACTACTGTTACTACCACTGCTACGACTACTACTACGACCACGACGACTCCTACTACTACTAATACTTCCACCACTACCACTACTACTACTACTCCTACTCCTACTACTATTACTACTACTACTACTACTACCACTACTACTACTACTGCTACTACTACTACTACTACTACTACTACGACTACGACTGCGACTACGAGTACGACTACTACTACTACGACTACGACTACTACTACTAC